TTTTAAATAGAAAAGACGTTTATGGTTAGTCATCCTAATTCCCACAGCTAATTACCTCAGGAAGGATTTTGGTAGCACTGTACTTGAACCCTCTGTCATACAGACTACATTAGGCTTTCATAAGCATGACATAAGAGATTAATTGGCAGTTATAACACCAGCTTTGGGTCTTTACGTTTCAGCACCAACTTTGTGGAACGAGATGCTGTCACACCCCGATGTTCACTCACCAGTAGAGAGTAGTGGAGTTTGAAGCCAGGCTTGGCCACAAAGTAGTCGTCTGACTTGAAGGTGACTTTGAGGGTGTTGGTTTTGGAGGTGAGGCGAGGGGGGACTCTCTGACCACACCATCTCCCCCAGATAATAGTACTGGTCTCTGAGATGTCCTCCACCTCCACAAAGTCATACCTGGGAGGGAAGGGGGAGAGAAGAGGAGGGGGTCACTAACCTGTCAATCAATGGATTTAATTAATCAATTAATATATCAATTAATCATCATTGTTCACTAGAAAAGGGATAATTGTTGAAGAGCCAATCCCCAGAGTCACCTCCCTCTCCCTCTTTTACTCTTCCTCTTTCACTTTCCTCATCTCTCCCTCACTTTCTCTCGCTCTCTGTTTCTCTCTCGTCTAAAGTGCTTACAAAGACAGCTGCCTTTGGTTTGGGGATTAAAAGTCTCTTCTCTCTTCTCACCCTCAAGGACATATTCTTCATTACTGCAAAGACTGCAACCTTCATCCATCCCTCCCACCCTCGCTCTCCCTCCTCCAGTCCTCCTTTCTTTAGACCATAGATGTCGATACCCCCATCAGAGGGATGCCAGCCTTCTCTCTCTCCCTTTTCATCCGTTACAAACTCAGCCAACTTTCTCTCTCCCTGGCTCTTCCATCTTTCTCTCTCCCTGGCTCTTCCATCGTTCTCTCTCCCTGGCTCTTCCATCTTTCTCTCTCCCTGGCTCTTCCATCTTTCTCTCTCCCTGGCTCTTCCATCTCTCTCTCCCTGGCTCTTCCATCTTTCTCTACCTCTCTTTCCTCTCCTCCCTCTCTCACCTGCAGACTTCGTTCTCTGGTTCCTCCAGTGCAAAGTGGGAGTCAAACTCCAGGGCGATGCGGGTGTTGTGCGGCGACAGTAGTTTCCATGACAACTGCAGGTTCCGGGGGTAAGCGTTAGGGAAGCGGGGGCTCTGGATGGCTCCCCCCGCTGCCGTTACCGTGATGACCTCTTCTTTCCGGTACAAGTCTGTAAGGTGATTGCTGTCTGTTAGCAGTTACAACTGGTATAGGTTAGTGAGTTTACTCTCTGGGATACAACACACACACAGAGACACAGAGAGACTTACAGAGAGATAGAGAGAGAGAGAGGAGAGAGGAGAGAGAGAGAGAGAGAAAGAAAAAAAGAGAGAAGAGAGGAGAGACAGAGAGAGAGAAGAGAAAGAAGAGAAAGAAAAAAGAGAAGAGAGAGAGAGGAAGAGAGAGAAGCCGAGACGAGAGAAAGAGTAGGAGAGAGACGAGCTGAATGCAAGGATAGACGAAAGGACGAGAAGCCGAGCAGGAGAGACGAGAGAGAGAGGAGAGAGGGGGAGAGAGAGAGAGACGATGGAGCAGAGACAGAAGATAAGAAGACTAGGACAAACAAAGAAAAACAACAGTAAACTAAACTATTCCAATAAATACAGTTTATATTCCTACATAGTCCTTCCAATGCTCTGTAAGTGAATCTGAGGAAATGAATCCATCTCTCTACCTCTCTCACCCAGTGGAAGTAGTTATTATGCACAGGGTTAGTGAGTGGCGTCAAATTAGGAAAGGCTTTGAATATCTGCTCGACCACACATGATCGCTAGCAACTCTATCAACCATGTCAGTTTCTGTAGAAACACACTTCTCTCCCCCTCCCTCCAACTCTCCCTCATGTCTCTCTCCCTGACGAGTGAACTGATGTACTGTAGTGCCTGTATCCATAGTGATGTTAATTACGCCATGTGAAACAAGGAATATGACGTGTGTATGTGTGCCCGGTGTGTACGTGCATGGAGGTAAGTGCGTACAAAGAGCACACAGCACAGAGAGAGGAGGAGGCCAATCCAACTCTAAAATTAAACCATTTACATATAAGGTAAAAGTTACATCATCAATGGCCCTAAACCCAATTAATCCAAGGATACAGTCAGTATGGCTCTCTGTCTGTCTGTCTGTCTGTCTGTCTGTCTGTCTGTCTGTCTGTCTGTCTGTCTGTCTGTCTGTCTGTCTCGGTAGTGAGTAAACTAAACCCTTTCACCCTCTACCATGATCAGTAGTACCACATGATCCAGTATAGGCTGTCCAGAGGGTGGCGCGGTCTGCCGAACGCATTACCGGGGGGCAAACTACCCGCCCTCCAAGATACCTACAGCACCCGATGTCACAGGAAGGCCAAAAAGATCATCAAGGACATCAACCACCCGAGCCACTGCCTGTTCACCCCGCTATCATCCAGAAGGCGAGGTCAGTACAGGTGCATCAAAGCTGGGACCGAGAGAATGAAAAACAGCTTCTATCTCAAGGCCATCAGACTGTTAAATAGCCATCACTAGCACATTAGAGGCTGCTGCTGCCTATTGAAATCACTGGCCACTTTAAGAAATGGAACACTGGTCACTTTAATAATGTTTACATATATTGCATTACCCATCTCATATGTATATACTGTATTCTATAATATTCTACTGTATCTTAGTCCATGCCGCTCTGTCATTGCTTGTCCATATATGTATATATTCTTAAATTCGTGTGTGTTGGGTATATGTTGTGAAATTGTTAGATATTACTTGTTAGATATTACTGCACTGTCGGAGCTAGAAGCACAAGCATTTCACTACACCCGCAATAACATCTGCTAAACACGTGTATGTGACAAATAAAATTTGATTTTATTTGATTTAGATATGGAAAAACATGAGCCTTGTGACCTTTTCAGACTAATGGAAGCTGACCCCTGGCTGTGTTTCTGACAGTTTTAATACACACTGGGTTCGAGCTGGAGAGCGAGAGAAAGAAAGAAATGACGTCTCTGCTCTGTAAGGCATGCTGCTGTGGCAGTAGAGAAGCGAGTGATTGTGTAGGGGAGGAATGGAGCGAGGGAGAGAGTGGAGAGGGAATAAGTGAATATGAGAGGTGGCAGAGTGAGACTTCCGGTTCCCACAGAGCCAGCAGAGAGAGAACAAAGAGCCAGCAGTCGGGACATTGTGAACAGCAGGAATATGTTTCTAACAGAGGCGTGAACGTTTAAACAAAATTGGGATCGTTAACGTTTAGAAAAAAATCCTAGAGTTCTAGAGTGTATCCAAGGCGCAGATACACACATAACATTGTCTACTGCTCCGCCCCACTGGCCCAATCCCCTGTGACCTCATTGGCTGATGGTTCCTGACGTGTAAGCACTTTCACGACTGAATGGACATCACAGCCAGACCTCTGATTAACAGAGTGGAACAATGCCATTAGACCCTCTCTCACCAGCCAGATCGCTCAAGATTGACTTCGAAATTGGACGTCGGGAAATGCATTAAAAACCGGCCACTAGGAGCAACAGTGAGCGCTATTACCAGAGTTTCTAAACCCAGATGTGCAACATCGCGAGACTTCCGGGTATGCTTGCAAAACAGACCAAGTAGACCAGGCCGGCGTTTTTGCTATTACCATCAAGTAGGCTTGGGTTTTGCTAGGGCGTTGTGGATGAGGGTGTCGGACGGGCGTAGTCCCATGACTCCGAATCCGAAGGTCGTGTGTTCAATCCAGCACACTCATTTTTATATATTTTTTCCCAAACCTTAACCCTTAACTTAACCATTCGGAATTAGCAGGAAGAGCAACCCATGGTGTCAAAAACACTTCGAAATTCGACGTTTGGAGCAACTTCGAAATGTGATGTTTGGAGAAACATGGAGAAACATCAGAATCTGAAGTCAAATTGGTAAAAACAGGGAACTCACTGCTTTCACACCACAACACACGCACACACATGCACACACGCATGCCAACACACACACACATGGACACACGCACACACACACTCTGTTTTGAATATTTAACAACACTGCTGAGCGACATGCATGACAAGATGAAAGACAGGAGGGAGGAAGGGAATGAAACGAGAGAGGAGAGCGAGAGGAGAGAGAGGAGAGAGAGAAAGGAGAGAGAAAGGATAGAGGGGAGAGGGGAAAGCGAGGGCAAAGGAAGGACGGGGGGAGAGAGGAAAGGAGAGAGGGGGGAGAGAGGAAAGGAGACAGAGGGGCGGAGCGAGAGAGGAGAGAGAGGAGAGAGAGGAGAGAGAGGAGAGAGAGAGAGGAGGAGGGGGGAGAGATGGGGAGAGGGGAGCGGAGGGGAGAGAGGAGGGAGAGAGGAGAGGGGAGAGAAAGGAGAGAGAGGAGAGAGAGGGGAGAGAGAGAGGAGAGAGAGAGGAGAGAGAGGGGAGAGAGAGGGGGAGAGAGGAGATAGGGGAGAGAGAGGGGAGAGAGAAATGAGAGAGAGCAGAGAGAGGAGAGAGAGAGAGTGGAAAGAAAGGAGAGAGAGAGAGAGAGAGAGAGAGAGAGAGAGAGAGGAGAGAGCGATGTCTCATTCTGTCTCAGCTGTGTATGCTAAACTCATCACCCAGGAGTGTAGGCCCAAACCTCATTATGCATGCTGCAACTCTCCACTAAAACCCCATACACCTCAGAAAAGAAGCCCAGTCAGCCCACCAGGTCACACAGCCCCTGTGTCTGTGTGTGCGTGTGTGTCAGGGTTTCAGTTAGCCAGTAGGCCTAATAGCTGGCTTTTGGCATTATTTTTTTAAAGCCCATTAATAAAATTGGCGCCCATTTCGAAATAATGCTTTTTAGCCTATTCATTAATGGAGATAAGTTGATGGAAATACATTTGACTGGTCCTGCTTATCTGCTTATAGGTTAATTGACATAATTTAGTGGAATTAAATTGGCTCCATGTTAATTTGCATAATTTAGTGGAATTAAATTGGCTCCATGTTAATTTGCATAATTTAGTGTTATTAAATTGCCACTTGTGTACAGTATATTCGTTGTATATCTTATTTATCACACACGTACAGCATACAGATACAGAGCCTTTGAGCGGAAAATCTGTCTGCATCTCAAACAGCAAATGCATAGACAACTGAAAGCAGGCGTCATATCAGCGCGTCACACACCACTTTGCAATGAGCTGGATGCAGTATTCATTTTCAAAACATACTTAATTTCCTAGCCAAAATCAGACCGTGGAGGCAATTATTTTATACTGTATCAACTTTATTTCGTTGTCTAGTAGACAAAGGCATAATCCTAGTCATATTAGCAACCCATGCTAGTTGTTGCATATTAGATCTAACCTCTTTCTGAATTTCTAACGGATATTTTCATCTCTGTCACATGAAACCGTTGGCATGCGGTGCGCTTTTGACACTGTTTTCACACTAATTGAATGAAAATTCGCACGCAGCCTAGCCTACTGCCTTGTGAGCATTGCTGCGCTTTTAATGTTAAGAAATAATAGTTTATCAAGATTCTAAGCTAAACGTGCTGATCTGATGCATCTGCCTCAATGCTTTTTAACGTTTTTTTGGATGTAGCGTAGGCCTACCGGTTGTATGAATCTACTGTCCCAGAGTCTGTTTGGAATATCCTATTTCTTTTTTGACAAGCTGACCAATAAAATAGGTAAGCTTTTCTACTATGGGGGATAGTAGATTGACATAGGCTAATGATTTTGCTGTTCATTACACGTCTTGTTGTCACATCGTTACATCCTCGACTTGCATGTTGTGTTAATATGAATGACCATAATCTAAATGTGATTTCTGTCATTCTGAGCACCGTTGCTGGATGCCCTAATCAGGTTACGCACCCAATGCATATGGATCGGGTAAATTTCTCAAATGTCAGATAAATTAAAATGCTGCCGGCAAATGTCCAGCGCCACATTTCCCTAACGGAAACCCTGGTATGTGAGTGTGTTTTTGCGTGTGTGTGTGTGTGTGTTCGGTGTGTATATGCGCTCGTTCACCATGTACGTGAAATAATGTACAGAATATTTAATACACTATGAATAACAAAACTTCAGGGCCATAGAGATTTAGTAAATAGTAAAGTTGTACTTTCAAATCAAACTGTCTAAAGGCATGATGTCATAGAAGTGATATAATCCCAGAGAGCAGGCTGAGTCACAATGCTCCAATTAGACACACATCACACTTCATTAAACAGATCTGACTTCCGACACTTACGCAACCCTCACATTATTGTAGGTTTGTGCGTGTTTGTGTGTGCGTGAATGCTTGCGTGCGTGTGTGTGTGTGTGTGCCTCTCACTGTGGGCTGAACCTGATCGTCACACCTAGAGCAGCAGGGTGTGATGTTCTACCAGCACCCTAGAATCTATTTCTGCTGCCAGTGATTATCACACCAACACATCACCATCCGCAGGAGAATTAGACTGCATTAAAACAGTGTTTGTGTGTGTGCGTGTGTGCATGATATACAGTTAGGTCCCAAAGTATTTGGACAGCAGTGGAGGCACCTCAGAAGAGGAAAGGGAGGACCATCCTCCTCGGTGAATTTCATAAAAATAAAAAGTGAAACATTTAAAAAGTTATAAAAATCATTTTTTAGATAAAACTATACTAAATATATTCACGTCACCAAATAATTGACTTGCAATGAAGGTCTACAGTAGCCTCAACAGCACTCTGTAGGGTAGCACCGTGGTGTAGCCGGAGGACATCTACTTTCCGTCTTCCTCTGGGTACATTGACTTCAATACAAAACCTAGGAGACTCATGGTTCTCACCCGCTTTCATAGACTTACACAGTAATTATCAAATCAAATCAAATTTTATTGGTCACATACACATGTTTAGCAGATGTTATTGCGGGTGTAGCGAAATGCTTGTGTTTCTAGCTCCAACAGTGCAGTAATATCTAACAAGTAATATCTAACAATTTCACAACAATACACACAATACACACCAATCTAAAGTAAAGGAATGGAATTAAGAATATATAAATATTTGGACGAGCAATGTCAGAGCTGCATAGACTAAGATACAGTAGAATAGTATAGAATACAGTATATACATATGAGATGAGTAATGCAAAATATGTAAACATTATTAAAGTGGCCAGTGATTTCAAGTCTATTTATTTAGGCAGCAGCAGCCTCTAAGGTTCTAGTGATGGCTATTTAACAGTCTGATGGCCTTGAGATAGAACCTGTTTTTCAGTCTCTCGGTCCCAGCTTTGATGCACCTGTACTGACCTCGCCTTCTGGATGATAGCGGGGTGAACAGGCAGTGGCTCAGGTGGTTGTTGATGATCTTTTTGGCCTTCCTGTGACATCGGGTGCTGTAGGTGTCCTGGAGGGCAGGTAGTTTGCCCCCGGTGATGCGTTGGGCAGACCGCATCACCCTCTGGAGAGCCCTGCGGTTGCGGGCGGTGCAGTTGCCGTACCAGGCGGTGATACAGCCCGACAGGATGCTCTCAATTGTGCATCTGTAAAAGTTTGTGAGGGTTTTAGGTGCCAAGCCAAATGTCTTTAGCCTCCTGAGGTTGAAGAGGCTCTGTTGCACCTTCTTCACCATACTGTTTGTGTGGCTGGACCATTTCAGTTTGTCAGTGATGTGTACGCAGAGGAACTTGAAGCTTTCCATCTTCTCCACTGCGGTCCCGTCGATGTGGATAGGTGGGTGCTCTCTCTGCTATTTCCTGAAGTCCACGATCAGCTCCTTTGTTTTGTTGACATCGAGTGAGAGGTTATTTTCCTGGTACCACACTCCCAGGGCCCTCACCTCCTCCCTGTAGGCTAACTCAATATTGTTAGTAATTATGACAACTTCCGGAGGATGTCCTCCAACCTATCAGAGCTCTTGCAGCATGAACTGACATGTTGTCCACCCAATCAAAGGATCAGATAATGAATCTAGTACTGAAAGCATAATCTACAGCTAGCTAGCACTGCAGTGCATAAAGTGTGGTGAGTAGTTGACTCAAAGAGAGAGAAAGACAATAGTTGAACAGTTTCGAAAACAAATACATTTCTTCAAAAATGAAGTGAGAGAGCTAGCTATATTTAGTGCAGCTAGCTACACTGAACAAAAATATAAACACAACATGTAAAATGTTGATCCCATGTTTCAAGAGCTGAAATAAAAGATCCCAGAAATTCTTGTGCACAAATTTGTTTACATTCCTGTTAGTGAGCATTTCTCCTTTGCCAAGATAATCCATCCACCTGACAAGGTGTGGCATATCAAGAAGCTGATTAAACAGCATGATCATACACAGGTGCACCTTGTGCTGGGTACAATAAAAGGCCACTCTAAAATGTGCAGTTTTGTCACACAACATAATGCCACAGATGTCTCATGTTCTGAAGGAGCGTATAACTGTAGGAATGTCCTGACTGTAGGAATGTCCACCAGAGCTGTTGCCAGATAATTTAATGTTCATTTCTCTACCATAAGCCGCCTCCAACGTCGTTTTAAAGAATTTGGTAGACCATGTGTATGGCGTCGTGTGGGCGAGCGGTTTGCTGATATCAACGTTGTGAACAGAGTGCCCCATGGTGGCGGTTGGGTTATGGTATGGGCAGGCATAAGCTACGGACTATTAACACAATTTCATTTTATCGATGGCAATTTGAATGCACAGAGATACCATGATGAGATCCTGACGCCCATTGTCGTGCCATTCATCCACCGCCATCACCTCATGTTTTAGCATTATAATGCACAGCCCCATGTCGCAAGGATCTGTACACAATTCCTGGAAGTTGAAAATGTCCCAGTTCTTCCATGGCCTGCATACTCACCAGACATGTCACCCATTGAGCATGTCTGGGATGCTCTGGATCAATGCGTACGACAGCGTGTTCCAGTTCCTGCCAATATCCATCAACTTCATACAGCCATTGAAGAGGAGTGGGACAACTTTCCATAGGCCACAATCAACAGCCTGATCAACTCTATGCGAAGGACATGTGTCGCGCTGCATGAGGCAAATGGTGGTCACACCAGATACTGGCTGGTTTACTGATCCACACCCCTACCTTTTTTTGTAAAGGTATATGTGATCAACAGATGCATATCTATATTCCCAGTCATGAGAAATCCATAGATTAGGGCCTAATGAATGTATTACTGTAACTCAGTAAAATCGTTGCATGTTACGTTCATATTTTTGTTCAGTATAGTTTAGCCTACTCAAACACCTGGCTCAAACAGAGAAGAATGCTTTGTTAGCTAGCTGGCTATGGCTATCCAACACTGGAACTCTTCCAAGTCAAAGTAAGCTTTTGAAGCTTTTGGCCAGCCGGCATAACTGCTAAACTGCTTGCTGACTGTACACTTTACTGCATGATTGTCGCGGGTTTACATTTGACATTTTAGTCATTTAGCAGACGCTCTTATCCAGAGTGACTTACAGTTAGTGAGTGCATACATTTTCATACTGGCCCCCCGTGGGAATCGAACCCACAACCCTGGCGTTGCAAACGCCATGCTCTACCAACTGAGCTACACGGGACTATAACACATTAGTTATAGTAGTTATGTTGACTATGATGTTAGCTAATATGGTGACAACGATGTAGGCTGTGTGTAGCAGTTAGCGGTTATGATATGACGGTTTTGCTTGGAACAGTTTTTTCACCTGGTCACAGACAGCTGACGTGATGTGCACTGAAGTCCACAAGTGAAGGGAAAAGGTTAGAGGAGGAGATCGCGTAGATGCAAGAAGGAATTATATGCTGCGTTCACATGCTAGTCGGAACAAGGAAAGTCGGACATTTCCGAATTGCTAACTGTTTGAATACAGCGCGTGTATAACTACAACCAGTTAGCAAGTCGGAAATTTCAGAGTTTCCTAGTTCCGACTAACACCTGAACGCGGCAATACAACAACCAAAGTTGTTTTTATATAGCTGCTATGAAAGTGAACTGTGTTTGCGTGTGATCCGGGGTGTATTCATTCCGCCGATTCTGTTAAAAAATATTCTTATTCACAATAAAAGTGACTCCAAAATGACACATTACATTATTTACCATTCATTTCTATTGGGCACAAAATAATCTGAAACACAACCAAAACAAACTACAAATGCATCCAACAAATTTGTAGAGTCACAAGCTTGATGTATTCATTGCGTGCTGAGAATATGGGACCAAATACTAAAACTTGTTGACTATAAAGGGGAACTGCCTTCTAGAACCAACGTATCTGGTTATAAATTACCTATGTGGGTCAGAAACATTTATTCTAGTGTCAAAATTGAATACAAAGTGTAATTTTGGCCAAAAAGTGAATGCGTTACGACGGGTATGGATGGGTAGGGTATGAATCACTTTTACCAATGACATCCAATTGCCCAGCGACAACAAGGTGTGGTCCCGCCCCCAGCTGCCATGTGTTGTGGACATGTTGTCAAGGCTACAACGCATGCACACTTGCTCGGCATAGGAGTGAAAATGGACTTCCATAAAGTGGTGCAAACTTCTAATGCATTCAACAATATTGCGCAAGATGGCAAGGAATGGATTAAATAAACTTATAACATGATGGTTGTGACTGGTGTGTTGCAAGTAACTAGTTACCTATCTAGCTAGCTAGCTATGATACTGTGATGTAACTAGCTAAATACATAGCCTCTCCCTAATGTGTAATGTGATAGAGAGGAAGATTTGCTAACGTTGTACATGACTAGGGCATTCCCCCGACTAAAAAAATAGTTATCTCCTTTCAAACAATCGACTGGTTGACATTTTAAAACGTGTATTTTTCCATATATAGGCACACCCAGGGTTGTTGCAGTGACCGTATTACCGCCACACCGGTCACGAGTCATGAAGGCAGTCAAATTCCACCTTACCATTTGGTCACGGTAATTAGGCTTCTCCAAGCTCTGATGCTGCTGATGGTCATTAGTCGCATCATGAAGCCTTAGAATGTATTAAAAATCAAAGCATATAGCCCAACATTTGTATCACAACTAGTTACATAAATAACTCTGAATTAAGCATATAGGAGAACCTATTTCTTTGTTAACCGCTCAACACAGAATAGCTGTATGTGTGCCCTCCTTCAAATCGTTTGGAGAAAATAGCCTTTCTATTTTATTCAGCTTTGTTCAATTGTATTCTTCAAACTATAAAATAATGACACGGAATTCTAAGCAAATCTTGTCTGCTAAATGAACTAGTGTAGCCCACAGCCATTTGGCATAGCCAGATCAGGACCTAACATAAGGACAACTCAGAGTATGCTATTCTGTTCTCCAAAAGTCTACATCAGTGGCTTGTAGGCTATCGGTCATATGGACACTAAAACACATTGAGACATAATTTTACTGTAATAGAGGAGAAATTAACTTTTATAACAACACCCTTTTTATGTCTCAACTACTCCAATTACGCGCAGCGCAGACA